AGACCCAGGAGATGTTTCCCTTTGCTCTGGGGGGGAGACAAGCAGACCATCCCCGGTCCTTCAGCAGCAGGGAGGCCCAGCATCCCAGACCCCGACCACCAACTCCTCCTCCCGGTTCCCCGCCCCCTTTCTTGGGTTTCTGCTACCTGAGGTACTCACTAAACACATGATGAGTTGTGGTCATCTTCCTGATGTATTCATGATTTCTTTTGTTTCCTTCTGACACTCACCAGTTGTTACTACACTTCTCCAGTCTGAAGGAAGTCTTGGGTGGGGGGTTCCTGACTGTAAAGAACAGCAGTGGCAGCAGAGCATCTCTGTTTTGATGGCAACTTGTGCAATTGTCTTGAAGTTGGTCTCTAGTGTTGTTTGCCACATACCACTGAATTTCTGATAATGGCTCTGGTGTTTCTGTCAATTCCTCTCTGGGCTCAGCGTTTGTACTGAGCCATGTGCCTCTTCATCTCATCCACTATGTTAACTGGTATGATGCCAGAATTCAGACGGGGATCAGGACTGTCCCGCCTTTGGGAAACCATTCTAGGTGCACATCATCCACGAGCAGCTCGTTCATTTGTGCTGACGTTCATGGAGTGCAGTTAGCTGCTTTAGCCATGTGAACCATGTCAGGGCCTGGTGCTGTACAACTCTTCATGTTTGAGGCTCTTGGATATTTGACACTGTGATGGTTACTGGACCCTGATCAGGGGGGTGCTGCTCAGTCCACTAGACACTGAACATTGTTGTTATGTGTTGTGTCCTTCTCCCATAAGGATGCAACATAAAAGGTTTTTTAACCATGAAAGGAGCTTTTAGAGATGGTGACAAAGAATGGATCAAACAGGAAGAGAAGAGGCAAAAACTAAATACAAAAAGAAGATAGAAAGGAAGATACAGTACAGCAATACCTGTGAGGAGGTATGCAAAATCAAAAAGAAAACATGGACACTTGTAGGTGATGTGGAAAGAGCTGATGAGCTCAACCAGTTCTTCAATAGATTCAACCCTATGGTTCCACCCACTGCCACAGCTTCTCCTTCTCCTCTAACGTAGCAGCTTCCTCCTCTCTCACACCTGTGTCCCCACCTTTGTCTGTCACAGACACAGGTAAGACTGGCGCTAGGAAGACACTGCTGGCTGCTGGCCCACATGGTGTGTGTCCAAGGCTTCTTAGGGTTGTATTGCCCAACTGTGTCCACCTTTCTACAGGATCTTAAATCTAAGTCTACAGTTGGGGTGGGTGCCGACACTTTGGGAAACATCCTGTACTGTGCCAAAATAATAATAACTGCACATCATTAAAACACTGAGACTTGAGGTCAAAGACTAAAATGATCCACTGCAGTTTGCATACCAACAACACATGCAGT